GCCATGTTATCTCACACGAACTGGGCTTATCGTCAGAAACAAGCAAACAAACTCCTGATGCCTGTTGCTCCTCATAGTCTGCCCTGGGACTTCCTGTTTGCCAATGGAGTCAAATCAACTCCTCCCGAGAAATGACCCTACACCCGCACCCTCCCACCCCAGAACTCTGGGCAGCTCCTCCATGTCTTTTCAGGTTGTGGCCGTTCACCCTCCCCTCTCCCCCGCTCCCGTCCCCAGGCCCTTCTTCCTGTGCCCCCTCTCCAAGTGCCACCATAGCCTGGTCCATTATGGTCCCATTCTTTCTCGGGTCACATTCTGGGCATTGGGACATAGCAAAAAAGAAAAAAATTATTTCCTGTGACTTGGTTTTATAAAAATAGAATGGGTTTTATAAAAAGAAGAGGACAGGAGTGGCATGCATTCACCTAGTAGTTTCTCTAATTATAGATGGTTGGGGTGTCAAGGGCAACCATATTGGGTGACAGGAGGGTTGCATCAGACAGGATGTCTCATTTCCAACTTCCCCTCTTAGTGCCCTGTGCGTGCCCTAATCAGCATTTTAAAATTACAGCCTGGTTGTTATCCAAAGCGGAAATCTTCCTATTAGCTGAACTGTGGCTTGCAATTTTGTATTACCAAAAATATTTAATTCCCAGGGTCTGGCTTTATTGTCTAAAATTTTGGTCATTTCCTGTTTCCCTGGAAATAAAAAATTATTTTTTTTCAGGGAAAAGATAGACATTTAAGAAGAAATGGAAGTTGGAAAAAAGATACAAAGCTGAAATCTTATTCCCATTGTGGCAAAGTTGCATTCTCCTCCTTCAATACCCTTTGCTGTTCCTAGTAATGAAACTGCTCCTGCAAGAGTGTGGACTAGGATGTCAGAAGCTCAACATTCAATGAGGAATCTCCTCTCCTACCTATAGAGCCTAAAACCTAAAAAGAAAAACCAGAGCTGTGTGAGGTGGCCAACACCTATAATCCCAGCACTTTGGGAGGCTGAGGCAGGAGGATCTCAAATCGGAGCCCAACCTAGGCAACTTTGTAAATTAGGGAAAGCCTGTCTCAAAATAAAAATAAAAAACAAAAAGGGGCTGGAATAGAGATCAGAGCAAAGGCCCTGGATTTAATCACCAGTGACACACATACACAGGAACACACACTAGCCTGGCATTCAAGGAATTCAGCATCTCTATAATTATTTACAACCTTTTCCCTGACTGTTTATGATGAGTGGACTTCTGGAAATTTCTTTTAAGGTGGAGCTCCTCAAGCTGGCTCCTTACAACTTTCTCAGAGGTCACAAGGCAGCCTCCACTGGCCACGCCCAGCCAGCTGATGGATGCAGTCAGGGCCACGAAGAGTTTTTGAAAGTAAGAACTAGGTGTCATTTCTTAAATGTACATAAAAATGTATAGGTTTATATAAAATCAACATAGATTTCTGTAAATATAGTCTTATATAAAAGTAGATTTACTTATCTCAGAAAAAAATAACACCAGAGGAGGCAGCCGTGGGGTGTTATTTCCACAGAGCCATGGTGGCCAGGGAGCATCGACCCAGGAAGCAACAGCCAGGTCATTCGCAGAAAGGGTGGGGCTGGGAGGGTGACTGGTTTGCTCCCAGGCCTGGGAACCAGAATTCCAGTCAGTGTTCAATTCTGTTGCTACTGCAACACTTGGAGCCCAAGCACATCTCCCTAGACAGCTGCCGAAGATCTGGTTTCCAACAGCACAACCGGGCTTCCTCTTCCCTCCCCAGGAGATCAGCTTGGATTCTTCTCGCTTCTTCCTTGCTGCTCCTCCTGCCCCAGCAGGCACCGCGGCCTGACACTTGTTCTCTCAGAGTCCACCGAGGAAACAAGGTGGCCAGCAGCAGGTGAGCACTTAAAATGCGCCTCGCACAAGCTGAGATCCACGGTGAGTGAAAAACACACGCTGGATCTTAGACACCAGGTTCTAAAACAAGGAAAGCCACCGTGATCCCCGCACTTGGGAAGCTGAAGCAGGAGGACAGACAGTTGGGGGCAGCCTGGACCACACAGCAAGATTCGGTTCCTAACAACGATCAATAATAAATAAAGACCTAAATAAACCAATAATTCTATATTCATTACCTACTGAAATGATATTTTTGCCATATTGAGTTAGAATTAACTTACCCATTTATTTTCACCTTTTTAAGAACGTATCTTCCAGAACATTTGAGATTAGATACGGAGCTCACATTCCGGCTCCTAGCAGTCTTTCTGCTGCACAGCCCTGCTGCCTCTGTCACCGCCCTAACCTTTCTAGCCTTGCTGCCACATTAGCGTAGCCTCTTGAGTTCTTCACTCCTAAAGTGGCAGATTAGTCCTCTAAAGACTCCTAGGCCTCTGCCCCCTTCTAATATGCACTGCACACCCTGGCTGAGCTCACCTGCTTCAGACATGACTTTTATCATGAAACATTCCTGCTCAAAACCCAGCTCCCGCTCCCATCTCTGAGCAAGCTGATAACAGCTTCCATTTTCAAACCCTCACTGCACTTTATGTAATTCTCCTGGCCACCTAGCACCCTAGCATACCAGCAGGCTCTTGGTGTTTATTTTTTAAGACTTATTTATTTTTTTAAAACCCAATCCCATTTATTCTGTACCTTCTTTAGGTAGACCATCTATTTGAATCTATTTGATCTATTTGTGAATCAGTTCTTTTGCATTCATTCATCACAGAGTCTATGCCCCAAATGCTCATTACTTTTTCTTTTAATTTTTTTTATTTTTATTAGTACATATTTGCAGTACATAATGATTACATTCATTGTGGGGAGTTGGTACATGTACATGACACATCTTGATTATTTTATCCTGTTTCCCTCCATCCCCATTAAAATTTTTTTTCTTGCCAGCATCAGATTCATTTATTTATTTTGTAAGTTCTTATTCAGTCAATTATCATAAACACAGATTAAAGGCCAGACTAATAGGCCAAAAATATGCAAAATACAAAAGACAATTATCCTAAATCAACGTACACATCTTTGTTTATTTTGTTTTTTGAGACCGGGTCTCACTATGCAGTTCAGGCTGGCCTTGAACTCACTATGTCACTATGTAGTCCAGGCTAGCCTCGAACTCAAACTCATAATGATCCTCCTGCCTCAGCCTCCCAAGTGCTGGAATGACAGGCATGCACTACCATACCCAGCCAACATACACTTTTAGATACATCGGCCATGCTGGATTAAAATAACTTTTTTTCTCTTTTTTTCCGATTGTCCTTTATTGTGCACTTTATTTATAGATTGTGTTTCTTGCATAAGATAAACCATGAGATATTTAAGCTTGTGTGTCTGATTTACTTCACTTAACATTGTGGTTCCAAGGTGCATCCAATTTCCTTGGAATGACTCAAGTTTATTTTTCTTTATGAACAGTAGGGCTCCATTGTGTATAAATACCAGACTCCTGGTTTTCTAAATAGAACTGAGAAGACTGCAGCATTTGGCTGAATGGGGAAGAGGGAGGAGAAGCACCATCGATCAAAGAGTTACAAAGAGGATACAGTTAAAGCATCCAAACGGCTAATTATTTTTACCTAGAATTGTTTATAAAACATCTCACAATCACCTAAAGAGCAATCATCATCTGTGGATCTACAAGTAGAACTATTTTTATTTTTATAATCGTGGAGGGAAAGAATAATATAATTAGAAAAGAAACTTACATTTGCGTCTTAGAAAACCCAATCCGAAATCCAACCAGAAAAGTTTAAGTGCTTTTTTGCAAAATGCTCTTTGGTTATCTATTTTAGATCTAAAGTAGAAATACACACATACATACATAATACCCATATATACAGTCATAAATTGGATAAATCTTAACTATGCCAATCTAAGCTGCTGTGGTATAGCAATAATTAAATTTGAAAAGACACGAATTAAAAGTCGGCGGGGAATTGAATAAATCCAAAGCAGGAGTCTTCTGATTCACAAACTGTGTAGAGTAATTCCACATGGTGACACGCATTTAGCCTGAGAACAAAAGATACTTTGTCAGAATTCATCTCGAATCATGTGCTATGTCTTCAAGACTTTATCCCTTTCACAACCTACTCCATTTTATGTGCATTTTCTTTCACGTTTGCAGCCGCAAATCAGGTCTCGCCAAATACTGCTTAGCGAAGGCATCGAGCGCTGAAGTCTTGAAAGAAGACAAATACACGTTCTCCCACCTGTTGTTCACTTTAGGGAACTTGTTTGGCAGTTCAGGGCTCCCATTACTCCTTCTGTAAACTGGCTGCTGTTATATTTTCCACACAGGGTTCCTTAAGAACTCAACAAGATCATCCACACAGTCCCTACAGTGCTTGGCATCAGTGTGATTCTCAGCCGCGGGGCAGTGGGTTAGATAACTTCCCATCGGCCTGGCCCTACTTGGCCGCCCCTTTGGGGGAACTTCTCCAAGCAGCTTGAGGACTCTGCAAAAGGATGGGGCGTTGGCGTCTAACGCTCTCTACTGAATTCTGTAAATTTAACTGACAAGAGAGTCTCACATTAAGGGATTGGGTGGGGAGGGAACGAGTGCGTCCGCCAGTCTCCTTCGCGATGGCCCTGACGAAGAACCAAGACCGCAGCCTACAGATCCCGCGCCAGCTACAGTGGCTCTCCGCTTCTCCCCTCCCGGGCTGGGCGGCTCTGGCAATGAAAACACCACCACGTGGCCTGCAGCGTGGGCCTCAAGCGCTTTCCACCAATGGGGAACTGTGTCGCGAGTCGGGGGCGGGTTGCCAACAGGGCGGTTCCGCCCACAGACGGCACGGATTGGCCAAGGGGGAGGTGCTCTCCTGTGCGGAATGAGCTGGTGGCCAATGGTGGCCGACAGAAGAGGCCCCGCCTTGTCAGCTGCTAGGGCCGGCGGAACCAGAGGGAGGGGCGGGGATAGAGGAGGGGCTAGGGGCGGGGTAGTGCTGGCTAGGGACGAGTTGGGGCGGGGTTAGGGGCGGGGTTAAGGCGGCGGGGCGGGGCTGGCGCCCCAGCTGCTGAGGTGGCTGTCGCCGGCTCTGAGCTGCGGCTCCCGAGATCGAGCCCCCGATGGAGGCCGAGGCCACTGACGCCCCTCCGGGAGGAGTCGAGGTGGCGCTCTGCTGCTTCTCTTTCAACCAAGACTGCACGTAAGCCGCGGCGCCGGCCCCTACCGGGGAAGTGGGGGACAGACAGCATGTCGCGCCCGGAGGCTGTTGTTCTGTGGGAGACTCGCGGCGAGGCGCGGGCCTGCGCCCGGGGCCGCCTCGCGCGGGGCGGGGTCTCTTTAACACCCAGCAGCGGGGTGCGAGCCCTCCCGGACGCCCTCGCGGCCCACTGGGGCCTCCGGGGTGGAGGGAGGACGTCGTCCAGGGGAGCGAGGCGATGGGAGGCCAGGGGAGGCCGGGAACCGGCGCTGGGGAAGGTGAGGCCGGGCCGGGAGGGGCCGTGGCCGAAACGGAGGGCGCGGCGGGCAGGGGGTCGCGAGCTGACCCACGGGTTGTAGCTGGGGCCCAGGAAGACGGGAGTGCCTGAAAACTTTCCCAGTTGTCCTTGAGCATCTCAACGTGGCATCTGGGCAGGGCCTGGGCCGGAGCGGCAGCCTGTCCCGGAGCCAGAGCAGCCCAGACCGGGCATCTGGCCTGGCCGCTTGGGACGTCAGATCTTGGGATTTCTCGCACCGCGTTTTCGACTCACCCACCTTATCACCCTTAGTCTCCCTCTGGGAGTCAAGGGACCCCGTCTAGGCCCAGGTTGCTTTCGCTTCGGGGAGCAGGGGCTCCACCCTGTTGCTTTTGAGTGGAATTTTTAATGTTTCACTTTGATTTTCACATCTGGACTTTGGTCAAAGAGCTGGGAGTTGCTAAGCTGTGTCCCAGGCGCCCGCAGGATTGTCTTCGAAGCAAATGCCTGTTTTCTTTCCCTCTTTTCATGGAAGCGAACCCTGGGGACCTTATGGAATAATCTCTTTGGAATGTGCCCCGGGAGCATCAGGCAGCTCAGGCGGGATGACCACTTCCCACTTTCCACTTCCTGCTATGCCGGCTTCTGTTGGGTCCCTTCTTTGGAGTCTGGATTCAGCCTTTGCCTTGACTGCTCGGAACTGAGCTATGCTAATATTAACATTCGGGCGTGTAATTAAGGCCTTCGTGTACCATAAGCAGCCCTGGTTTCCATTCCCTTTGTGTTTCTATTTAAAAACACTGAACAGTATGCCTTTGTTTGGGAAAAAAAAAAACCAACCAACTATATGTAATCCAGTATCTCAGTAGCTTGGTTGTATGAGTGACTTTTAAGCTTTGTGTGTGTTTTTTAACCACTACCCACAATAAAAAGTATATATTACAACATCTCCCAATACTCATATACATATAATATCCACAAAATGTTATGTGTAACGCCCTTTGATGTTTTCCATGTCTTTTTTTCCCGAAGGCTGGGCAAAAATTTAGTAGTACAACCTGCTAAATTGTGTTTAGCATCTGCTTTTAGGTGACACTCACATGATAGTACAGATAAAATTCAGCAGTTTTGTAAGAAACATTTTGCAAGAGGATGTATCTGTTGAAATGCCTGCATGATGTTTTCCTTCCCAATTGAACACAGGTTAAAGAGATGAATTAGTTTGCTAATAAGTAGTAAATATTCTAAATTCTTCTTTGTGACATTATTAGATTTGGAAAAAATGATTTTTTAAAAATTCTAGTTATAAAATAATAGACCAGCTTCCTTTAGCAATTGGATAAGAATGTTATTTTCAAAACTGTGCTTTGAAAGTGAATTTCCTTAGTCCCTACAGTCAGTTCTGTTTTCTTGGATGAAGGCTCTGTTGGGCAGCTCTCTCACCTATAAATAAAATTCTTGTCACAGTCAGTTGCTTTGAGCTGCAGAAGGTATGACATTGGATTTCAAAATAAGTCAGGCCCCTTATCGAATGCTTTTAGGTGAATTTGTGTCTTTTTTGGTAAATGTAGGCTGAGTTTGGGGTCCAGTTTATATTTCTGGAGAAGATTAGTAAAGAGAACTAATCTTTACCAATGTCCTACATTTTTTCTCTATGCTTAGCAACTGATCTTTGCCAGAGCTCTATATTCATATTTTGTTCCTGCTGCTATGACAGACAGCTTGGGTACATTTTAAATTGTGATTAGTGATACGCATTTGTCCCAAATTTCATTCCCCTGAGCCATAAAAATTTTGTTTCTATAGAAAAGTCTGATGGGTAAAATAAGGTATAAATCTGAATCCCTTGATTCTGAGTCTTTTGTGTCCCTTGAGCAATCATTGAAAACATGAGAGTGATCACTCGGATATCACTCAGATATATATATTTCTTCTGGGCCAGCCATGCTGGCATGTGACTGTAGTTGCTGCTACTCTGGAGGCTGAGGCAGGAAAAGCACTTGAACCCACTGAGACCAGTCTGGGCAACATAACCTCACCGGCTCTCAAAAAAAGAAAAAAAAGAACACCCAAAGCAAAAAAAGCAAATAACTTCTGTCCCTGCTTGCAAGCTTTACAAACCTGTTTGCAATTAAATGTTTCTTTATATGTGAAAAAGCTCATGTGAAGAAAAATTTAAAACAGTGATCACTACAGAGTATATTTTAAAGTAATAAGATGCCCCTGGCTTATTTGGTTGCTGTTTGTCTGAGGTTCTGTACACCAAACCCTACTTCTAACTGCACTATTACTGTTATGCAAATCTGTCCACACTGGTTTAGCTTTTCAGCAGGTTGGAAAGCTGAGAGACAAACCAGTTGACTGTAGCTTCCTGTCCCTGTCTCGAGAAAGAACAAATATTTGGGTTGAAAAGAATTCTAGGGAAAAATCATATAGTTGTCTCCTTTTAGGTTGGTGAAACCAGAGCCTTGGCATCCAGGCTTGTAAGTTACTTATTTTAGTATATGCTTCCCTGGGAAGAACGAAGCTCACCTTTGCATATATTTGCTGTAAGTGAGGAAGTTAGACCAAACCATTTTAAGGTCCATGTCAACTCTGAAATCCCATTTTCCCAGGGTGGAGGTGCTCAGGGTCAGACAGCTTATTGGGAGCGGGTTTCATGCAAAGTTTTGGTCATTACTTGGGCGCTGAGAGCAAAAAGCCAGAGAGAGCTGGGAGGGGATTCCCAGGCACTAAACAAAGTTGACAAGTTTACTTTCATCACAAGGCCAAGAAAAATCGGATTCATACCTTGCCTCTTTTAAAAGGGAAAAACTAAGGAAAATGGGTTTGTTTTGTTTTGCTTTGTAGCCCACATTGACCCAAGTAAATACCTAGTTTTTATCTTATGTGTTGGTTGTGATAATAGCATACAGCAAAGCTTCAACCTTAGCTGTGAATGAGAGAGCTTGAAAAGAATCCAATTAAACTTCCCAATTGAGTTTATGAAATCTATAAACTATCTGTGATATTTTCTTGGAAACAAATAAAAGGAAACATCTTTTAAATTTTTGCCCACAAATTACCTACTATGCCTACTATGAATATGTGTGTTTCCTTTTTTAAAATAAAAAATAAATAATCATTAAGAAAAGAAGAAATAATTTACCTCTTGGTAAAGTGCTTCTCAGACACTTAATGGTGTTGTGGATGGAGCTATTATGAATATTCTTAAACATTCCATTTTCCTATACCTGCCCAGGAGGGAAAACACGACCTCTGGTATGTTTGATATCTTGCTTAATTCCACAGCCATGCAATTTCTGTCCTTTTCTTTTCTTATTTGTTTTTTCCTTTTACTGTATCTGCCAAGGCATGCTTCCATACTTAAGAAGTTATCAAGGATCTAAGCTCCTTGGGATTGTTTATGTGCACTGTATAAGACTAGGGGGAAAGAGATACCTATTTTTAGACGTCTGTGGTTAGAATACAGTACCTGTTGTCATTCCCATGGTGTCCTTATCTTCCACAGATCCCTAGCAATTGGAACCAAAGCTGGTTACAAGCTGTTTTCTTTGAGTTCTGTGGAGCAACTGGACCAAGTCCATGGGAATAGTAAGTGTGCTTTGTGTGTGTGTGTGTGTGTGTGTGTGTGTGTGTGCGCGCGCGCGCGCGCGCGCACGTGCGCATGCCCCCACCCGCATGCAGGAAATCTCCGAGACACCGACTGCTTTCTCTGGTCTTTAATCTTGATCTTTCTGATTTTCCTTCCCTCAACCATGAAAATTAAGGAGTCAGTATTTTTCAGGTTTAAATATAAATCGTCTCCATCTGCTTAAAAACCACAATGACGTTCTTCTTAAACTTTGGCGATAATTTAGGGAACATTTCCTTTGTTATGTTAAGAAATCCTTTGTCTGAAATCATATTATTGATACTTTTCCATATACTTAGTACACAGTCATCATTTTTTATGATTCTCCAACCAAAAGATCACTCATGATTTCTTTTTGCCATTATATTGGCACTGTAGACTGCTGATACAATTTATTCAGTCAGAAAAGTATTTTATTGGCTTTAATAAAGCAAGACTATCCTATTTACATGGCCCATATTAAAAATGTTGACACATTTCTGCCAAATATTAAAAATAATTCAGTTTAAAAATATGACTGATTTTTCTCAGGGTAACACTTTCTGCATACATAATAGTGAAAAAAATAACCTCTGGGTTTCCTGGAAGGAAGGTGGTTTGGTAAATATTATCTTGGGCTCTTACTTTATTTGTAAAGTGTTATTTTTATTACACTATTTTTGTGAAAATCTTGCTCTGTATCTGCTCCGTGCTGTTCTCTATGGGACTTGCCCGAGCACAGGCAAGGTATGCCTATGACAAGATGCTCTCAGAAAGACACAGAGGTCCTGCCGGTATTGAATACGGAAGTACTTTCTTGCTCAACATACTAATGTCCAGATTATCTTCATAGAAAAAGGATTCCAGAGAGGGCCAGGGAGCACAGAAAGAGAGGGACGAAGATATAACTGTTACTGAGCTCCCTCCCCAGAGTGGTTCCCCTAGCAGAACGAGAATAATTCTGAAGACAGCAGCACCCAACCCAGTAATCACAGCTTTGAAGTCTCCTTAGGGCAAGGATAGATTGAGATTTCCAAACCTGCTGAATATATTTTACAGGGTGAACAGTGGAAGCCTTGGTCTGGGGGTGATCCATCATGCACACACCACCCCAGGTGGTTCTGGTCACCAGCGTCTCCTGGATTTTGAGTGCTGCCCAGGGAGACAGTCAAGGCTCCCTGGTGGGAGTGGGGGCGTAGGGGTCGCTGTGAATGTCTGCTGATGGTGAGGAGCAGTCAGCAAGCTCTGCTGCAGCAACCATTGGAGTAACCTTGATGCTGCCCTCCCTCCAGACGAAATCCCCGATGTCTACATCGTGGAGCGCCTCTTCTCCAGCAGCCTGGTGGTGGTGGTCAGCCACACAAAACCACGGCAGATGAACGTGTATCACTTCAAGAAAGGCACAGAGATCTGCAACTACAGCTACTCCAGCAACATCTTGTCCATAAAGCTGAACCGGCAGGTAAGGAAGCAAAAGCCTTGAAGTTTTATGGCTTCTGCTGACTGGAACTGTAAGAAAAAAAGATGAGTATCTTTAAAACAAGTATCAATCAGGTGTGGTGACAAACACCTGTAATCCTAGCACTCTGAGAGCCTGAGGCAAAGATCACAAGTTAGAGCCCACCCTGGACAACTTAGTTACTTAGTGAGACTCTTGTCTCAAAATAAAAACTAAATAAAGGGCCAAGGATGCAGCTCAGTTCTAAAGTACTAGGTTCAATCCATAGTACTGCAATTATTTCATTAATCAAACAAACATCAAACGCTAGTGATGATTCTAACATGTTTGGGATATGAGTCTGTGAATTCTATGGATTCAAGTCTCAGTACTGAAATTAAAAATAAATAAATAAATAAATAAATAAATAGCATCAAATGCCAATGATGATTTCAACTTGCATGTCTGGTACCATAGATGTAGTGTAGACAGCATCCACTCCATGTTGTTCATTTTTCAGTGGTGAATTTTCCCTGGTCCTTCAGTCCTCATTTTTCTCCAGTTTCAGGCGTGTACTCTGTGTCCCTGGGTGCTGGCTCAGGTCTGTCCCTTGAGCCTCAGCAGGGTCACCTTAGCATGTTCCCATCCACCGGTTTGTACCACCAATGATACATGCGTGACTGTCCCATGTCATCCAATGGAACAGTCATGCATGTACCACCAGTGGTTCAGCACTGGCCAGCAGAGACACATGCAAGCTATAGACTCATCATGAATGTGAAACCAGAGGAATGAGTCTTCTGACCTTGGTCTAGACAGTGGCATTTATTGCAGCAGCTGGTTCTGCCTTTGAAAATGAGGCACTCGAGGGTGGAGGGTGGCCCTTGTGGTTAGTTCTGAGGCAGGTGGGAAAATGGCCCTTCTGCTGTCTATATGGGCTTTTCCTGGCAGGTCAGCTGTAAGGTCTTATGCTTTCACTTTCCTTTTTTCCAACTAACCCCTAAAGATGTTTTCTTGTACCATTTTCTTTGTTGAAGGAAGGATTATTCTTATCTCAAATATGCAATATATGCAACATATTATCTTTAAAAATATGAGCTCTTGTGAAATAAGCATTTGAGATATCAGCAGATCAGTAACATCTACAGTTACTGAATTTGACATCCTATGAGAGCACAGTCCATGGCAGTTTTGCTCAGTACTTCAAGACTGGGTGGAAAAGTGCTCAGCAGTGTCTGTTTCCTGACTATTACATAAATAAAGAAAGAGACCTTTTGTGTGAGCATCCAGGGCTCCCTGTTCAGTTACGTATTCCCAGGAAAGTGGAGGTGGTTGCACTCACTAAGGATGCTTTTTTTTCTTTGTACCTAAGCTATTAAGTACTATTTTTTTTTAACAGTGAAACAAATAAAATGCTTTCTTAAATTTCAGTGAAGCAAGAGATTGCTGCTTTGAGTCAATCAGCTGTTTAGAGAGTCCACTTAAGTCCCTAGAAAGTAGGGTGGTAGAAAAACGGCCTGAGAAACAAAGCGTGGGGACTTTTCAGGGAGCAGTAGCAGGCATAAGGAAGAAAAGAAGTCTGGGTTCTTGTCAGGAAAGGGAAAGGCGGTTTGAGAGTATGCTACATGAAGGCTTTTAAGCAGAATTCTTGGCTCAAGCCCTTTCTCTGAGCTCTGTTAGTAGCATGTTAACTTTTGTTGGAGAACTTTTTAGTTTTGCACACAATAGTGGCCAGTATATATAGGTTAAATGTCTTTTTCTCACACTTAATTATTTTTTTAAGACTGTTTGGTCAAATGTTCTTTAACAATATCTGTTGGAGGGCCAGGGACTTAGCTCAGTGGTTCCACTGCCTCCCTTGCAAGCTCAAGGTCCTGAGTTCGATCCTCAGTACCCCCCCCAAAAAAAAATCTGATGGAATAATATCTAATAATATCTATTGTGTTTACTTGTATGCTTTCTCTGTTCCTGTCTGGTATTTTCATCAGCAAATGGGACAGGGAAAGACTCTTCAAGTGTGCCAGTCTGTTATCCTTGAGTGCCAGCTGCCACTCAGTAGGACACTCATTAACCTGAGGTTCTCATGCCCCATCTTTGGGAGAACACCCTCAGCACTTTTCAGCAATTGACACCCAAGCTAAGATGACTCAAGGCTGGTCTGACAAGTGTTTGGGGTTTGCTCTTCTGAAACATTTCAGTTTGGGTTTAGAGCTCCTCACTGCCATAGCCCCTCTGTGATGGCTAGGGGTCCACAGTGCTGCAGAGCTACAGGCCAAGGGAAGTGGAAGGGCCAAGCGTGCATGACCTGTCTGCAGTGGCCAGCCTGCTGCATGTGGTTCCTTCTTAAAACAGGAAAAAAATTACAGAGTTGTATAAGGAATTATAAGGAAACAAATCTCTATTTTCTGCTAAGTATACAGAAAGGAAAAATCTTTAGAAATTGTGATAGCTTCCATTTTTATTTGATGCTATACTTCTTGTATTTAATTGTGAAGTGTATCTTATGGGATAAAGACAATAAAGCAAATGTATTTAAATTATATAAAATTTTACAGTTCTTTGGCCCTTGCTTTTGGTTATCCAACTACAGTTTGGTTGGATCGATGCCATTGAGGCTGAATCTATGGTGGTCTGCAGCAGACTCGACAAATTTTAATTGCTACAGGAATACTACTTACAAAACTAAGAAAGGATGAAAGTCAAGGTGACCAAGAATGGGCTGAGTTAAAGGCAAGGTCATGGTTCTGCTGCAAACTGATTAAGGAAACAATTACTGAGGGGCATGGTCGCACAAATCTCTCATCCCAGCACCCTGGGAGGCTGAGGCAGGAGGATGGAAAGTTTGAGTCTTGCTTGGGCAACTTAGCAAGACCTTGTCTCAAACTGAAAAAGAGCTGGGGAAGTAGTTCAGTGTGAAGGCCCTGGTTCAATCCCCAGTACCATGGATGGATGGATAGATAGATAGACAGACAGACAGAGAGACAGACAGACAGATAGATAGACAGACCAACAGACAGACAGACAGACAGGCAGGCAGACAGCAGAAGACAATTAACAAGTTTTGCTCATTCTAGAAGCATCCTTTCACGTGGACCAAGACAAAGTGCCCCCTTGTTCCCTTCCAGTGCTTGTTTTCTCTTTCCCTCCCTTTTAATTCTTGTCTGCACCCAGTGTGGGGATGACCAGAAATTCAGCAGAGTGGGACCACAGAGCGGATGGCACTATTAGCATGGATGGAAAATGATGTAGATCAGATCAGCAGAGCCTGGGGGTTCATGTGGGGCCCTGCTGTTGTGGGGATCGGATGCAGAGCTGGGAGGGGACACAGGAGGATGTAGCAACCTCAGAGCAGAAACAAGCACTGAAGAAAACTGTCCAAACTATTAGAGAATATATACTTCACAGAGAAACTGATATTTGTCATCAACTTTGAGGCTCTATTAGGACTTTGTTTTAACCTCTAAGCATCCAGTCTCAGACCTGTGGAAGAGAGGCTTATTAAAATAGAAAAGCATCTAAATTTTATTTTTCTACCTAGTTACAGTTGATGGTCTCCATTTTTCTGAATCTGAGGAGTCTTAGTAGAAACAAACTCCCTGGAGGAGAGGCTGCCACCTTTGTGATATTGTCAAGTACTTCTCTTGTAACTGGTGTTCCTGAGCTTCAGGAGATCTGGCCCAAGAGCACTGGATCCTCAGCCTTGTGTTCATCATACTCATCTGAGTGCTTGGTTAAAGATGGCCCCAGCTGGAATCTCTGGAGGAGTCCAGGACTTGGCTCCTGGGTGGTTCTGGTGCTCATCCAACCCTGAGAAGCACTACCCCGAGGGAGCCTAGTCAGGCATGTGCTGGGCTGCGGGCAGCTGCTCAGGATGTGGAAAGTGAGGTCCAACCACCATTGCCTTCCCAGCACCTCCTCTCTGGTGCCTGCCCTGGGCTTGGGCTGGGCTCTGCCTTCCATTCCTAAAAACACAGAGCACCACCTTGGCAAGAGACTCTGCACCTGGCAGGCTCCCAGAGAAGGAGGAAGAGAAGGAACTGATGGCACTTGGGTGGAAGAGGGCCCAAGAGAGGAGCTGGGTGGGGACTGGCCCTTTGACTTTCATGGCATCTATACGAGGGATCCACCAGCTCCCTTTACCAGGGGTGTAAGGAGTGGCACAATAGTGGATCTGGAGGAGAGTTTGGAATGAAGGGAAATCTGGTAACAAAAGGCTAATTATCCCTTATCTTAAAAATGCTTGGGACCAAAAATAGATCAGCTTTTAGAGTTTTTCAGATTTTGGAATATTTGTGTAGACTTTTCTGGTTGAGCATTCCTAATCTGAAAATCCAAAATCTGAAAAATTTTAAGTAGATCAGATTTTAGAGTTTGTTAGATTTTAGAATATTCAAATAGAGTTTGCTGGTTGAACATTGCTAATCTAAAAATCCAAAATCTGAAAATTTTTAAGTGCTGATGCTCAAATTTAGCCAGATAATTTTGAAAGTTTGGATCAGGGAGGTTCAACCTGTATTTGGAGAAGGGTAAAATGTGAGATGTGATGATACAGAAACTGCAAAGAAACCCACATTTGTCTGAGGGAGACCTTTGTTACCAGCATTGAAAGGCAACTTGTCAGGTAGAAATAAGAACCAAAGAGGTGACCCCAAATGATCTTAAATGAAAAAGCAAATGTGATCAAGTGTTCAGGAATCCCAATTCTAAGAGAGGGAAGTGCTGGAAAGAAAGGGGAAAAGAGAGAGGGGAGAGAAAGACAGAGACACAGAGAGACAGAGACAGAAGTTAGTTGGCAGGTCTCATTTCTACATAAAATTTCTTAAGATCTCTTGTTTGAAGCTTCTGTTCAAGTGGACAGTCACATGTGTGTTCATGCCCATAAATAAACACAGCCTTCAAACAACATCATCAAAACCCCTTCTCCTTTGGGCATGGGCTCAGGTTAGCACTCAGTGAAAGACAGCAGTTTGGGTCCCTTGTCATGGAGTCCATGCAGGGGCTGAAGAGTCTTTGTGATTACAGAGGTTGCTGGTTTGCCTGGAAGAGTCCATCTATATCCACAACATTAAGGACATGAAGCTGTTGAAGACCCTCCTGGATATTCCTGCAAACCCAACAGGTGAGCTTCAACCACAGACTGACACCCCAAACCGCATGTCCAGGCACCTCTTTCCTCAGCTTGTTTCTAACTGGACTGAAAACCTGAAGTGCCACGCACACTTTGTTGTCGTAACAGTGAAGTTTCCATGGTGGCTGATTAAAATTCTGTCAGGCTGTGGGTCCTCCAGGAGAGTGTGGGCTTCGTTGCAGCCTCCAGAAGCCTCTGTTAGCAAATGGGCTGAGGCATGTACGGTATCTGCGTAGGAGATCTCATGTGTCTAAAGTTGAAAAGTATTTACCCCTTACGCTTTTTTGCGGTTGTTTAGTATGAAGTAGATGTAATAATTATAAGCAAGTTTTGACTTGGTGTGTCTGCATGGCTAGGAAAAAGATAATCCACTGTAAAGAATGTGTTTTATGTGTTTTATTATATTACAAAGAAATTCCTCTACTTGAACGATCCTAGGGTATTGGACTTGACTGATTTAACACTATTTAATACATATGTAGTTAAGAATTAGAGCAGTTTGAATTTGTTAGATTGAAATAACAGATAATGACATTTTATGAAATTTGTTGAGTATAAAAATGACTGAGAAAGAATCCTTTCCTGGAGGGGGGAAAGAGGGAGTCATCACATGAGAGCAATGTATATTATCTAATGATTCAGATTAGTATTTATAAATTGTATTCCAATTTAGTATCATTAAATGGCTCCTTCTATTTACTGTAGTTTCTTAATTCTTTGACTTTCACGGAATTTCAAGGTTTCTATGGCTCCACCCAAATGACCTAGACTCTTTGAGCCTCTTTCCTTATTTGTAAGGAATAGTAATAGGCATCCCACAGCATCAGCTGAGCATTAAATGAGGTGACATTTGTGCAAGTGACCAGCACAGGACTTGATGTGCAATAAATATTTTCTATGTCTCATTTCCTTCTCTTCATCTCACTTATATACACAGCCTTTTGATTTCTCCTCTCTCTCTCCCTCTCCTTCTCCCTGTCTCTCTGTGTGCATGCACGCTTATGGATCTGTGTTGCTCAGGATCAAACCCAGAACATCACAAATGCTAAGTACATGCTGTACCACTGATCTGTACTCCCAGGCCCAGATTTCAGGACTTGAAAATCTCAGTCGCTGAGACCATTAAAAAGTTCTGTGAGACAATACTTTAAGGCATATTTCACGAGTCTGCATCTATCACTATAGTACAATGTTTTCAGTTCTTTCGAGAATATACCCAGGAGTGGTATTCCTGGCTCAAAAGCAATTTCTGTGTTTAGCTTTTTCAGGAATCTCCATACTGATTTTCATAGTGGTTGTTCTAGTTTAATTTCCTACTGAAAATGTAGAAAAATTCATTTCCCCTCATATCCTCACCAGCATTTGTTGCTCTTCATGTTCTTGATGATAACTGTTCTGGCTGGGATAAGACAGAATCTCAGAGTAGTTTTAATTTGCATTTCCCTAATGGCTAAAGATGATGAACTTTTTAAATGTACTTATTGGTCATTTGTACTTTTTCTGTTTAGAAGTGTCTACTGATTTCATTTGCCCAGTTTTGGATTGGATCATTTGTTTTAGGGGGGTGAATTTTTTTTGCATTCTTTATTCACTATATTCAAGGTATTACTTCTCCATCAGAAAAGTAGTTAGCAAAAAATTTTCCTCCATTCCATAGGTTGTCTTTTCATTGTGCTGATTATTTCGTTTGCATTTGTTGATTCTTAGTATTATTTCCTGAGCTATTAGCACTCCATTCAGAAAGCCTATGGCTTCAAGTGTTTCCCCTGTGTCATTGTCCAGCAGTTTATATCTAGGTCTCTGATCCATTTTGATTTGATTTGAGTACAGGATAAGAGATAGGGACCATTTCAGTCTTTTGCAAGTGAATATCCACTTCTCTCATCACCATTTGCTAAACAGCCTGTCTTTTCTCTATGTTTTTGGCCCCTTTGTCAAAAAGGAGATGGTGGTAGGCGTGTACGGCTGCTTCTGTGCTTCTGTTCCAGTCCACCACTCTACATCTGTTTTTTGGGTTGGTACCATGTTATTTTGTACTATAGCTTTGTAATATAACTTGAAATCTGGTATTGTGATACCTCCAGCTTTGCTATTTGTGCCCAAGATTGCTTTGGCCATTCTGGGTCTTTTCTGATTCCATATGAATTTTAGGAGGAAGTCCCAAATTAGAATGACCCCCTGAGCTTCTCCTCAACTTGGTTTTTTTACTTCAGTGAAATGAAATGATCATGTTTAGCCCACAGGGCTTCGTGGGGAGAATTAACAGCGGTCACATGGGAGTGAGCCGAGGTGAGGCTGCCCTGTCCTCCAGCACAGTCAGCTGGGTTCCCTCGCTGGCCCCCCTCATCCTACAGGGCAGCCCCCTCAAAGTCAAAGCTTCCCAGCATGAGCACTTCCTCACTCAGGAACCTTCAGGCCTCTAAGCTGTCAAAAACACAAGTCCACCAGAGGCCAGAGTCCCCTCGTATGTCCTCATTCCTTAACTTATTTTCTGAACAAAACTGTAAAATGGAAAACATGGTTTCTACTTTCCTAAGCCCTCCCTGCATTCATAGGGAAACACTGTCACTTGTTGAGTCGTCTTCAGCACACACATTCTGAGTGTGTTCACCCTACTGCAGTACAGATAAGTTAGGTTACAGTTTCCCGTTGCTTCACGCTCAGTATCTAAGGAGGCTGTAAATTTCCTTCCTTCTGTGTGTGTTTGGGTCATGCCCGTTCCTGTTGTATCAAAGATTGCTGGCAGCTTCCTTTCAAGAGTTTGGCCAGACGGGGCTCAAAGTTAATTTCCTGCTGGCACAGCAGTCTGTGTCCTGAGCAGCCAAGGGTGGAAGTCTCCATGAAAAGTCTCACCAAGTGTAGAACTTGGGACGGGGTGGGGATGGGCATCACAAACCTGACCATTTTTTATGGAAAATGAGGGAGCATCCTATATCACACAGCAATGCAATCATAGAACAGAGTGCTGGTTTATACACAGCAAGTCCACTTCCTGCAAAGGGTAACACAGGTGGTAAAAATGCTCTCTTTTGTAGTTGCATGGCATGTGCATGACACAGAAGCTTTATCTCTGTTCTGTTTTGGGAAACTGGAAAGTGTGTGTGTGTGTGTGTGTGTGTGTGTGTGTGACTGAGAATTGAACCCAGGGCCTCATGCATGCTAAGCACACACTGTACTGCTGAGCTATATCCCCAGCCCTGAAAAGTAGCTTTTGGGACATTAGTGAAAAAACCAGTTTTCAAAACCATTTCCCAGGCCGGGGATTTAGCTCAGTGGCTCTGGCGCCTGCCTCACAAGCGCAAGGACCAGAGTTTGATCCCTGGTACCAAAAAACACAAAAAACAACAAAAAAAAAGCCATTTCCCCCTGAGTTGCCTAAAGTTTGACGGGTTCTGTTTTGAGTGTCAAGGTGAGAATCACTGAGAATTATGGGACTTTCTTCTCATTCCAGCTGGGAATGTCACTGGCCTTGGATTGATAACAAGCCTTTCTATTCCAGCTATGGAAGAAGTACAGCCAATTTCAGTGAAATGACAGCTGACCACGATTTACAAAAATACATGTCAAGTCTAAAACAGGTCTAAAAGCCATATCAAAACTTCATTCCTATATAGAAAAAAAGACTAGAAGAAACTATGCTCAACTATGAGAGGAGCAAAAAACCTGAGTTTTAGAATCATTGGTGATTTTTTTTCTTTCTCTGTATTTTCTGGACTTTGCAAATTTGCTACACCATCACTTTTACATTACAAAATAATATCGAAAAATAGTCCATTTTTTTTTTTAAAGGCTGCATGTGACACCTGGGACAGAAACAGGACTGTGGAATGGTGACAGGTAGACCTGGGACAAGTCTTCCTGCTCTCCTCACAACACAGATCCGTGTCACTGGCGGGAATATCTGAGACTTGGATGATAGGAAATGGGAGGAGCTCACATTAAGCATTTGAGGACCTTCATTGAAGTCTGTGAAGATCTGTGAACAGGATCCCTCTATTAATTTCAGATGGCTTGGCAGAGGTGCAAGGCCAGAGGCACAGCTGTCAAATAAGTGGGATTTGTCACCGTCCGCCTGCCCTCGCCATTATCCTTTGTCCTTCTCTTGTTAGAATCCAGTGCCATCTAGCTCTATGTTAGGTATTCCAGAAAGTTCAAAGGCAGCGGAAAATGTTCAAGCCTTTCTTCCTTTCTGGGCTATTTATATCTTAACCCAGAACTCTGGAGGACAGGTGGAAGTGCTCCTCCAAGGCTCCTGCTCAGGCCTCTCCTTGCTCTTTCTGCCACAAGGACTGCTCCGTACTTTCAGAGGAAGGAAGTGAGTCAAGGAAGCCTTGGCACGCTGGAATGTTACAGCAGGAGAAGCGTTCATCACCGGATAGGATGAAGCGTTCATTTCAGACAGGAATCAGGTCTGAAAGGGCCACAGCCCTTTAACTCAGCAAGAGTTACACCACACACAGATTGGTATCTGGAGCCATGTCCCCAGACTGAATGTGCTGGGTAAATATTCTCAAAACACAATCTTTTCTTTAAAAAAAATTGGAGAGGGTATTGAGCTACAAATAACATGGCCTAGAATTCACCCATCTAAAGTACAGAATTCAATAGCTTTTAGTATATTCATGGAATTGTGTAACCAATATCACAATTAATTTTAGAACATTTTCATTACCCCCAAAAAAGAAACCCTGTACCTCTTAACTATCACCCTGTATCCCCCATCCCTAGGCAACTCTTCATCTACTTTCTGTCTCAATAGATTTATCTCTTCTGGACATTTCATGTCAGTGGATTTAGATAATATGTAGACTTTGGTGTCTAGCTTTTCTCACCATGTTCTCAAGGTTCATTCATATTGTAGCAAGTGTCGGTCCTTTATTCCTTTTTATTGCCAAATAATATTCTATTATAAAGATATGCCACACTTTATTCATTCATTAGCTGATATTTTGAGTTGTCCCAGTTTTTGACCGTAATGAGCAATGTTGCTATGAACATTCATATACAAGTCTTTTTTGTGAACGGAAGTTTGGATTTCTCATGGGCATATATACAGGAGTGGAATTTCTGGGTTTTATGATAGTACTGTGTTTAACTTTTGAGACACTGCCAGGGAGCTTTCCAAAGCCCTGCCCCACTTTACATTCCCACCGGTGGTGTACAGGCACCTGTGGTCTCCGTCTCCTTAACAGCATTTACTGTCTTTTTTATGGTAGCCATCCTAGTGAGCAAGAGGTGGGATCTCATTGTGGTTTTCCAATATGTGTGTTCAGAAGCCCTCAGAGGTTACCGGTAGTGCCTTTGTAAGATCATAACTCTTCAGGCTGGTGCTCCAGTCCATGGCCACAGTCTATCTGACCCGCCCTTCCCCTGCTGCATCCACAGGACCCATCAGCCTAGCCCAGGCCACCCCCTGGCTTCTTCCCTCCTGGGTTTTACAGGCCCAGAACATCTTCCCCCTGTCTAGCTGCTCCTGAAATTGCATTGCATTGCAGAGAACTCAGATGGGGTGGGGAGTGGGGGTTCCCAAAGCAATGGGAAGGGGTGCATGGTGTTTTCTAAGGCCAAGGCCAGGAGTGACCTCAGATAGGCAAGGGGATTGTAGTGATTCCAGAACATACAGTTCAGGGTGCCAGGAATCAGCTACTTTCCTCCTGGAGTTCTGCTTGGCAAGTGATGTGAGCACGGTCCTGGCAAAGCCAGAGTAGGAAACAGAACCTAATCCCAAACATCATTTGATTTTTTTTCTCTATTCTCCTTCTCCTGAAAATTTGGTAAGGAGCCGTTCAAGCCTGATCCAAAGTTCTTCTTATACTTTAATTAAGAAACACATTTAATATACTAACTTATAACGAAGATACTAGTCACCTCTTTTTACTTAAAAAGATGTTTCTTTTGCATAATCTTCTCTGAGTTCCTATTTGGTTAATGCTTTGGTTCTATGCAGTTCCTGGAATTCACTGTTATCATGTACAACTCTGTTACTCTAAATTATTGTGGAAAGGCCTTTACTTAAATGTTGTTCAGACCAGTGCATAATCCTGAACCCCTTTGTAAATAAAAATGGCTTATGTTGCTTCAGTGCAATGGTTTGATTAGCCATTTACACCTGCACAGATTGGTGAAGCTTGTGTGTGTGTGTGTGTGTGTGTGTGTGTGTGTGTGTATGCGTGCCCACAAGCACGCACAAGTACATACCCTGGAGATGGAACCAGTGGCCTCATACGTGCTAGACAAATGCTCTGCCATTGAGCTACTACCACCAGCCTAGTTGAAGCATCTTAAATCCAACTGTTCTGTGTATTCACTTCTGCCAAAGGTGAGGCGCTCCCTGTTGGCTCAGAGGCAGGACCTCTGGTGAGCTTCCACCTTGGCAGGCAACCATTTCCCTTCTCAAAGCAGGACATTGAGCTCATAAATGAGCAATTTGCTTCTCCTGTCCTGCAACTTGAATCTGCTGGCCAACTGTATTTAATCGCCTGAAGAAGGGCTAACACATGCTGACTTTGCATGACCTGAAGTTCTATTTCAGTTGTGAGTAAATTCAAGTGAACCTTTCAGAGCTTTTGGTGATAACGAATAGCCAGCTGAGACATATGTGCCACAGAAGTAGATGTGACTTCAGAGCCCAGGGGTAAAAATGTGGAGAAGAGCATGTTTCAAATTCTAAATTCTGATTGCTTAGATGTGGAGAGGACATGGTGGTGTTAAATTAGGTGATCTTCTGTGAATTTTCTTTACCGGAATCCTTTCATTAGAGTAATCCACAGAAATCTCTCAAAGTCATTCCTCCCTTTACCAGTAGGTGGCACTCTAGTTGTGCTGTTTCCTGGTGCTCTTTTCAACCTTCCGGTCTTCTGTCCCTTGCACACGGGCTTTTCATCTCCTGTTGGTTCCTCTCCAGGTCTGTGTGCCCTCTCTATCAACCATTCCAATTCTTACCTGGCCTATCCTGGAAGCCTGACCTCAGGCGAGATTGTGCTTTATGATGGAAACTCCCTGGTAAGTTGACAGTGGTCCTGCCTGCCACCTGTCTTGCTCTGTGGTGAATGAAGGAGATAAGGAGGTGCTGTGGGGGTGGAAGAAATGCTGGGGGCGTTTTCTGGCCAGGGTGGGTGGATGTGGAGGGGAAGGTAGTGTATTTGCCCTGGCTTCGCCATCAGCCTGCACCACCATGGGCAGTGACAGGCCAGGGCAAAACGTCTGCAGCAGGATGGCAGATGGTCACACTGGTGACCTAAGACAGCAGACAGCTGTTTCCTGCCCTCTGGTCTCCAAAGCTTCACAGAATGGGACGGTCCCGATCTGTGGGGGGAAGTCCCCTTTCAAGGGAGCCCACCACAGCCTTGCTGTACATCAGGCACACAGTTCGATGCCCACCTTCCTAAGGTCAGGAAAGAGGACAGAAATGGAGTCGCTCTTGACATTGAATCAGGATACAGCTGAAAAGGACATGCAGCTTGTATGCAAATAGGCTGGTGGAGAGAGACAGAGGAAACCCAGGAAAGGAGGGAGATAGAAGAAAAAGAAAGAGGAAGAAAGGAGATGAAATCCATCTTCCTTCTTCCTTCTTCCATGCCATTAGTAGCTGCTTCTCCTTTTCACCAACAGAAAACAGTCTGCACCATTGCTGCCCACGAGGGGACACTGGCTGCCATCACCTTCAACTCTTCAGGCTCCAAACTAGCAAGTGCATCCGAGAAAGTAAGTGCACTTCCATCTCCTATTGGGTTCACTCCCTGGCTGCCTCCAGAGGTGCCCGGAGATCTGATGGAACGAGGCTGGAGACTTGGAGACCAGCTGGTCCCTGAGCCTGCTTCAAATGTGTCTCAGAGTGAGAATTTCTACCCTTTGCATGTTGTTGTCTATTGATTACTTGTTAATTCAATAGATCAGGGGCCTGCGCTAGACAAGATACAAACACTTTGCACAAACACTGTGGTCTTCTTGAGAAATGTGCATGCGTATCACACCTAGAACGGATAGATGCTACATTTCATAAGCAGCACAAACAAAATGCTTTGCTAGTTAGCCAGAGAGAGAGAGTGATCCCTTCTGTCTGGAATAATCAGGGAAGGTAGTCAGGTTGAATTTCAGATGCCATGCAGAGCAGGTCTATTTTGCTAGGCAGAGAGAGAATACTGTAGAAAGGCATCGAGGTCCAGGAGACATATGCACACACATGCATACACGGGGACATACATAGACACACAGAGCCCTGAACAGGGATGGGAGAGGAAGGCAGTCAGGCAGTGTTTAATACACGTTTCAGTAATCACTCACTCAGCACATACATAATTAAAAATGTCTCTTTGGCCCACGCTCTGTGCTTTGTCCTCAGAGGCAGATGTTGAAAACCAATAAAACAAACCACTGTCTGAAGGGACATCGCTATGTGAAGCCACTGATGGTTAGAAACTGTCCATCTGCTCTTTTCCAGGGCACAGTCATCCGGGTGTTCTCAGTACCTGATGGGCAAAGGCTCTATGAGTTTCGCAGAGGAATGAAAAGGTCTGTGCTCAGTGTCGAACCCACTTTAAAGTTCCCACGGGAGGGCTTCGGTGGCCCTCGGCAGCCATCTAGGGAGAGGACAGAGGCTGTGGCCTCCTGTCACCCAGACGAAGTATTACTGTACTTTCTCAGGTAATTGACTTCAGGGCCCCACGGAGGGCTTAGTAACGCCGAAAGAGGAGTCGCTGTTTTAACACCAGTTATCAGCCAGGAGAGTCCTTTTTTGATAGGCAGCCAACAGAGAAGAAATAAGAAAACCAGGGGAGTCACAATCCAAAAATAATTTCTAATTCTCTTCTGTGGAAATGAAAGGTGACGTAAGGTCTGAGTGTTTGGGGTCTTAATCAGCTGTAGGGCTTACGTTTGGATCCAGGCACAGAGCACCTGGAAGGCTTCCGCAGTGTCCAGAAGGTGCACACCTTCTGCTCCGCTGGCTGGGAGGATGGGCCATGCTTTATTCCTTCCACCTAAGACTGACCCTTGTGCATCTTTCTAGTGTTGCTCTCTAAATCTAAATAACTCACTGTTGAAGGGGTTTTAGAATACCTGAGTTCTTCAGGATACATTTTCTTTTCTCACAAAACTGGTCTTGGAACTAAGAGGCAATAACGCTCATTTTTTCTGGTTTCTTGGTTCATACGTTGCTGTTTCTAGGTACGTGACAATCAGCTCCCTGGTTTTCAGTATGGACTCACAGTTCCTGTGTGCCTCCAGCAACACCGAGACCGTGCACATCTTCAAGCTGGAAAACCTCATCAGCAGGTACATCAGCGTGAGAGATTCGTTTTCTTCTGAGTTCCATACACTTGGCTTTGTCTTTAGCACCACGGCAGAGCAGCATGCTAGCAAAACTTTTGTGATATTGTGCACACAAGCATAAAAATTGTGCCACACACCTGAGTTCATATTCCAGCTTGGCTCCTTCTAAGCCATGAAACCTTGAGAAAGTCATTTGATTTTTCTGTATTTCGCTTTTCTCATCTGTAAAACAAACACATAACAGTGTATGCCTGTTAGGCTCATGGTAAGGGTGAAATGAGTTTGTTATGTAAAGCATTTGGTATTTCCCTGGCTTATAGAAGCACCCATAGGCACTAACCAATGTAGCTATAAATTTAGTAATATAGCTATTGTTGCTATTGCCACTACCAGTGAGTGCTTAGAAACACTTTCCATGCCCCTGAGTATAACTCCGCAGGCATGGCATGAGGGTTGATTGCATAATGTGTGTGTTACATTGTAGCCAATGGTGAGTGTATTAGTTTCCAATACTGCTGTAACAAATTACCACAAATTTAATGGCTTCAAATAGCATATATCTATTATCTCATAGTTCTGGAGGCCAAAAGCCCAAAATAGGCTGGCTGGATCCTCTGCTTAGGGTTTCCTAGTGCTGAAATGGAGGTGGCTGAACAGCACCTGTGTTCCCCTCTGGAGCTCAGAATCATTATCCAAGTGCATTCTCGGTACTGTCAAGAAGGCAGGTCCTGACAGGTGTGGCAGTGAGGTCACTACTTACTTGCTGGCTGTCAGTGGGAGAAAGCCACTCTCACAGCTGAGAGGCCACCACATTCCTTTCCATGGAGCCTTCAAACAGCAGCATCAGACTGATTTCTTCTCATGCCTTCCATTTGTCTTCCTTGTCTTCTGCCTTCCTTATCTGCCACCACTCAGAGGCAGTTGAAACCTGGGCCTCATGCAGGCCAGGCAACGGCCCTACCACTGAGCTGCAGCCCCTGATCCTTCAAGAGAAGTTTGTTGTTTGGGGTTTGTTTTGTTTTGTTTTTGAGATGAGCTATAGCTAAGTTCATCAGGCTGGCCTTGAATTTGTGATCCTCCTACCTCAGCTTCCTGAGTAGCTGGGACTACAAGTCCACACTTCCATGCCTAGCACAGTCTGTGTTAAAAGTTCTACATGTGATTAGGTCAAAGCCCACCCAGGCAATCTCCTTCCTAAGGCCACTTGGGCCATATAACATAAAACGGTCATGTAGCTGATATCTCATTACCATACAGGTTCTGAGGCCCGGGACATGGAATCCTGAGGGCCATTCCTAGAAATTCTGCCGGCTGAAGAGTATGAGCATTAGATTATAACTGCTAGGCATCTCCAGTGTACGTGACCATGCTCACTGGGAGATATATGTACCCGGAAGCAGAATGGAATCCCCCGGTCCCAGCCATTGTCCATAGCAACATCACCTAGCCCACCTTCCTGTAGACATGGTCCCTGATTCTGGAAGCATAGGAGGTGGCTTACACCTTGTGTGTATGTGTGTGGTGTCCTTCGCCACCTAATGTCTCTTGACACTTCCTTCCAGCGTCATTATAGGAACCTGAAACATGAAATTTTAGTGATTTTCTATGAAAGCAGGTGGCAGAGTTAGCAATGATGATGGTGACGCTTGTTCATCTGCAGTTTATAGAGCTTTTACTATGCTTCCTCCCTTGGTCCCCATGGCAGTTGTTCTGGCAGGCAAGGAGGGTAGGAGCTTGATAACTGAAGAAACTGAGGTCCAGAGAGCTCAGTGTCTTGCTCAAAGCTGACCTTGGGTCCATAAGAAGTGAAACTTTTCACTCTGGTGGAAACTCCAGCAACATTGCTCACAGGCGTCTCCTGTGTGCACTCCTGTGCTGGGGTTCACATGAGTGTGAAGAGGAAACTCTCTTCTGGGACTGGAAGTTCTTCTCTAATGGCACAGGACTTTTTCTATCTGATGAGAATGAGGTGGAGCTGGCCTCCTTCCCGTATGTATTAGTGTACAGTGGTATGACATGGGACCCAGCGTCTGTCCCTCCCTCCCTGTGACTCCATCCCAGGAACCAGCCTCTGAGTCACCAAGACTGTGGGTTTTCCATGAGGTTCTGCCTTTGGTGTGCTGTGTCACCAGGCTCGTGAGGCTAGGAAATCGTGTCCCCTGTTGGTGTTGGGAACACTGGGATGCCTCCCTTCCTGCTCCTCTGTCTCCCCAGAACTCTTCTAACTCCTGTCCCAGAGCTCTTGTTTGCCTTGAACGTCTTACTCCAAACTTTCCCCAGAGATTATATCCATTGTCTAGACTTTTCTGTCACTCCCCAGAAAGCTTCTGAAACCTAACCCTGATTTCTTCTAGAGCTGTCATTTGTTCTCTGTTGCAATGAGTAAGCCCTTGATGATAGCCCGATGGTTCAGATACGTTTTGCTCCTGAGGTTCTTTGACAAGGAAGGAAGTGCTCCCCAGCTCCTGCTTCAGCCCTGTCCTCTCTTGGATCTGTCTTCAGTGCTTAGGGTAGGAAATGCATTACCCTAATACATTACCCTCTCTGAGCTGCCCCATTCTCTCACTGGCCACAGATGATTGAGGGGAGACCTTCCACTCCTCCTGGGGATCTCCTCAGCCTGTCCATGAAGTACTGTTATGTCCCAGACAGTGTGACTCCCATGGACCTCTTCAGTCCTGTATCACTAGCCACTGCCCCTATCCATGTCTTTAACTTCATTATGCTTATGTCTGGTCTCATCCTGCCCAGCCTCATTGGACCAATCCATTCTGTATCTTCTTGCTGGATTAATCTTCTGGAAATGCCCCTTGAACATAATACATCCTCAGAACCTTCATCGCCTTGGTCCTTGGGGATGAAGCGACAGCTCCTCCCCTGCCTGCAGAGCCCAGCTACCACCACCACAGAACCTTTTGCATCCCTCAGCCTCTGAGCCACTTGCTGCACGTCCTGCTCTAGGCTGAACCTCCTTCTTTCTCCCAGCAAGCCTTCAGATTGTCCCTGTTTTCCAAATGAGAAAACATGGAAACCAAGAGGCTCAGAACCCTTACCCCCTCTCCCTCCTGGTCCTGGAGCAACTCCTGCCTGCACCAGTTATGTGCCACCATGCACAACAGCTCAGGTTGTTTTCCTATTTATACAGGAGTGCAGGGTCTGGATGTCTGTCGTTTCTCTCTGTGAATCCCAAGCTGGAGCACAGAGCTTCTTACTCCAGGGCCACAGTACAGGTCTGCCTAGAAGGGTCACTTTCGGTTCAGTAGATCAAGGCCCAGAGAGGTTTGTCCAAAGAACACCTCCACCTCGCCGGGTTGGTAACAGTAAAAAATGAGCAGCACTAAGATCCCACTGGGATCTGGTCTTGTAGATAAGTGGCATCACCGTGGGGTGTCCTGAAGCACACAAGGCAGCCCTGGTCTTCCATGTGCTGCCCGCAGCCTAAAACTGAGATGGAGGTGTCTCTCAGCAGAGCAGTCACACCCTCTGTCTCCCAGAAGCTTGGGGATGAAGTTCTAGGACCGAAGGGGGCGCTCTAGGTCCCTGTGAGGTACTCAGGCACTGTGAATGCCGGAGTCCTGATGGCTTCAGGGCTGTAATCAGACACCACCACCCCGTGTGTCTAGCCTGAAGGCTAGCCTCTAGCGTCCCACTCAGTCTGCCTCAGGAGTCTTCACACTGAGATCTGTCTGTTCTTCTTGAGCCCTGAACAGACTTGAGCTCATTTTATAGGATCCAGATATTGATTGCATCTCATTCCTCTACCCTTGCCCTCTGTAAGCAATCAGACTAATCATCAGATATGTTTTTTTAATGTAAGAAAGCAGTAGCATTGAGAGCCTTTTAAGAGCTTTACAATGGTTCCTCTGAAGGACAAACAGGCCCTTGGTGCTCTTTTGTTATTGCCAGAATAATGTGACTCTGTGGGTAGAACACTGTGCTGAGGCACAGTTTCTGCCTGATGCAGTGCACTCGGCTCAGAACGTTCGGATGTGTAGGTTCCTGTACGGTTCCGGTGCTGGCAGCCAATCCCATCCTTGTCTCTGCACTGCCCCCCAGTCGCACAGAAGAGCCTTCCACCTGGAGTGGCTACGTGGGAAAGGTGTTCATGGCCGCCACCAACTACCTCCCCGCCCAGGTGTCGGACATGATGAACCAGGACAGGGCTTTTGCCACTGGACGCTTGAACTTCTCCGGGCAGAAGAACATCTGCACCCTCTCCACGTACGTACCACCCACCCTAAGCAAACGCACACTTGCACAGCTTCCCAGAGCACAGAATCCCAAATGTGTGAAGAGAAGAGGGGACGGGTGGTCCACAAGAAGGCTGAGCTGGACCAGTTGAACCAAGCTGCTGCCTTTCCTCTCTGGTTTCAACAGGGATTCTCAGGGGCAGCTGGGGGCTGACATGGGAATATTAACCCTCTAGATCTAACAACACTGTCTTGAAAGCATTGCCATTTTTGATGGAATTAGGCAAGCCTCAGGTTCTATTGTCTAAATTCAGACACTAATGGTCCAACAGGTATCTTCTTTAAGTAATTTAAGGAAGTTTACTAAAGAAGGGGATCATTTAAAATTCTTCATAAAGTTAACAAGCCAAGACAGCAAGCTAACTATATCCTTCTCCCCATCCTGTCACCAATAAGGCAGAGAAACATGCATGATGGAGACTGTCACATTTAGTGGCAGTAGCTTTCACAGGATAAGAGTACCGGCATACGCCATTTTGCTTTATCCTCACAGTTATGTTCAAAGACCAGAAATAACCCTGAAAGTAGGTTGTTAGGTCAGAACACAAAGGAATGGCCAGAAGCCCAGACTCTGGATCACTGGGCGAAGGGTTGTCCCTGGCAGGAGCATCAGCTGAAGCTGGCCCAGTTACATGTCTTCATTGTAATAACACTGACAATCTTCTAGCTTCCTCCAGCCTGAGTCTCCAACCCATTCCAAACTCTTCCCATAAACCAGTGCTAAAGCCTTCCAAACCACATGGTCAGGTATAGTTAGCAATGACCCCACTTCTTGGTACCAACTTGTAATCACTATGACCTGACATACTCAGCTTGTTGGAGGAAGGGTTTGGGGCTCATGATTTCAGAGGTTTCAGTCCAGAGTCAGCTGGCTCCAAGGCAGAAACATCATGGTAGAAGGAGAAAGTGAAGAAAGGCTGCTCATTCGTGACAGCCAGGAAACAGAGTAGGGGAAGAGCCAGAGAGAGAGAAGGAAGGGCCGTGGATGGCATGTATCTTTCCAGCTCATGATCCCAGTGACCTGCTTCCTCCAGTCAGCGCTTACCTTCTAATAGAACATCCAGCTCTGAACTGATTAATCTAAAAACCTGCTAGAAACCTGACCTCTGACCACTTGAGACCTTGGGAAACAACATTTTTGATCCAAACCATAACATTGATCATTAGGTCAGAACACAAAGGAATGGAAAGCCTGGACTCCGGATTAGTGGGATAAGAGTTTGTCCATGGCAGAATAGGTGACCGCTGGGCCTTGAAACGGCCTTGTCAGGCACTTGAAACGGCTCCATTACCCTTCTTTACTGTAATCACAATTCATGTTTCACCTGGTCCTTAGGATCCAGAAATTGCCAAGGCTGCTAGTCGCATCCTCCAATGGATACCTTTACATCTACAATTTGGATCCTCAGGATGGAGGAGAGTGCGTCCTAATCAAGACCCACAGGTGAAGATTCTAACTTTCCAAGGACAGCCATTCAAGAGTTGGCAGTGCAGAGGTGTGGCGTCAGTGGGACACTGACCAGCCCCCCATTCTCTTGCTGCCACTTCTTACCGGCAGTCTGGGCGGCAAAGCCCTAGCGGGCACCTGCTTTGCTCAGCTCCATTGCCAGGCACCCTCTGTGTGCTGCCCCCTTCTGGGAAGTGCCAGGATACATTGCACCATGGAATATCAGCCCAGCCCCAAGTACACAGTGGGTGGTCAAAAATGTTCATAGAATCGAGTTGAAAAGTTCCCCAAACTTGTGACATGTGCAGCCTGGCCTTCTGTTCTGCTGAGAACGACACCGTAGGCTGCCACTGCTCCCTTGCCCGTGGCCCCTTGGCATCCTTGCCTGCATTTACTAAGAAGGGCAGAGGGCCAGCCTTTGGTTATTAAATATAAGGGAAGGCAGTCATTTTGAAGCTGCCTCACTGATCCCTGGCAACAAGGCCACTGCAGTTCCTACTGGCCTAGCTGCATGCTTACAATCAGGTAGCTGCGCTGTGTCTCTGAGGTTTTCCTTGCAACAGTTTTCTAGATAGATGATCTTTTTTTCCCCCTCTAATTGCTGCAAGTAGCTTGCTTGGCTCAGCAACAACCAAAGAGAACAAAGAAAATGACCTCAGACCTTCCTTACCTCAGTCTTACGCAGCGACCGTAGCCAGACCAAGCACATCTGCAGCCTCCACTGTGCCAGGTGAGTGGCCTGGGGTCTGCCTCCCCCTCCCCTGTTAGCTGGGGCTGGAGTGCTCTCCTCAAGCTATTTCTGAGCTATTTCCTCATGGACGAGGCCTGGTAACAGCTTCCAACTTGGCTCCTTACCCCCAACAGATGTATCACAAGAGGTTCATTTTCAGCACTAACCCTTTGCCTCTTGGAGAATTCCAAAGAGGTAGAAATTTCAGGCATCCAGGGTGGGAGAGAGGATGAGACTGCCATCTCTCAGAGACTCAGAGACCATAGCTGACGGGGTTTAGATGGGTAAGCAGTCCCTCCGGCTGGGAGGCAAAGATGGCTCCCGGGCTCCTCAGCCCTCCGGTCCTCTCAGGTCCTGCCCCTGGGTCACGGGCAAAGAACTGACCGTGTGGCTTGTTTCCCATCTCACTCTCGGTTTTCAGGTTACTCCGAGGACGGCGGGGCACTCCGAGGAGAAGTTATTCCGGAACATGAGTTTGCAACAGGACCAGTGTGTCTTGATGACGAGAATGAGTTCCCCCCTGTGAGCACTAGGAATCCGTAAAGACCAGCTGTGTCTCTGTGCCTGGAAGGGAGCTTTACCTTGTACAGGAGGCCAAGTCACTTTCCCTGTTTTCTAGTTCCTAACAACTAATCCTCTTCTCTAAGTTCCAGAGAGCCATAGAATGTCTCTTATGTGTGCTGCAGACCCTGCTGACTAGCAGTATGGCGTCGCACTAAACCCTGACTGCACTGGGATAACTGAATACTAATCCAGGGAGTTTGGGGCGCTTCCCACACCCAGCAGCCTGGACTCCTTTCCTCTGCTTCTGTATACTGACTTCACTGGCCATAGGTGGGAAACTTCCACCTGTATAAAACTCTTAAGTTTCCTGTGGCTCCTAAGGGTGCTTTTGCAGAATGGTGCCTTCCTGTCGCTGGAGGTGATGCGTTAATGGGGCTGCGCTACGTGTTTGGGACACTGAGCTTACTGGAGACCTGCAGAGCACTGACCTGCACCCCACTTCTGACTCTGGCAGGGCAGACCCAAGCCTCCCAGCAGCTGCAGGCACTCATTAAGAACCCCTCAAGGGGAAGGCTGGAGCTGGAATGAGTGAGCTCACCTGGGCATCTTGTCTTTTTCTTTTATTTGAGGTACTGGGGATTGAGCTACCTGCTCAGCCCTTTTTATTTTTTATTTTGAGACAGAGTCTTGCTAAGTTGCCCTGGCTGGGCTCAAACTTGTGATCCTCCTGCTTCAGCCTCCCAGAGTACTGGGATTATAGGTGTGCACCACCATGCCTGGCTTCCTCACTTGTGCATCTTTAGTGGAGCTTCCCAGCATCCTCCTGCAACCGTTCCAGCAGCAAGGGTCCCTGGGGCTAGCTGAGCACTGGGCTGAATTGTTTCCAACTTTTGTGTCTGGAGAAAGAGTCTCTCCTGGGGGAAGAGGGCAGGGCTTCCATAGCTGTGGCTTCTTCAAGCTTCCATTCAGAGAAATACAGAGACCCTTTCTGTAAGCTTCAGTTAGCAAACACCCTAGAGAATCAACATGAAATCACTGCAGATGGAAGCAGTGTCGGGCCACAGCTCGGACAACCAACGCCTAGAGCCAAACAGGAGCAGCCACACAGTGTCCCTGAGGCCTTGAATGGAATGTGTTTTGGTGACCACTGTTGTACGTCAGTGAGATCCACTTGTAAAAAGATGGTGTGCAGGTTTGGCTTCTTTCTCCCATGGATCCACAGAGCGACCTAGCAAGCACATTTGGCTGAAAGAAGAACAAAGCTCTTGTGGGGCCGTCTGGGCATTGCTGGGGCTGTTTGTGACTTCCTTGTCGGCTCTAGGGACTGCAGCTTGGGATTTGCATTTCTAGCTTTTCATAGGCAGGTTTCTAGCTGTGTTGCCAGCAAGTGATGTTTGTATTTTATTGATAGAGAGGAGTGGTTCTTTAAAATACTAATTTTACATTTTTACATATCTGGTGGCTTGCCACCTAACAGTTGTTGCCTAAACCAGTTGTTTTGCCTTTGGGTTCTTATGATGCCAGCTAGCTCTGGAGGGAGTTTTTCTGTCTCCCTAAGAATGGGTGATGACTTCACTGAAATTGCACCTTCCAGGATCCAGAGCATTCTAGGTCAGACACAGTGGGGACGAATGTGCTCATCCTCCTCCTCCATCCACACTTAGAGCACTCAGACACTCACTGAGTTCTGTTCTAGTAATTTTGGTAAAAGCCTGTGACTGGTCTAAAAGATTATGAAATTATGAATTAGATTCTTAATCATAATCGGCAAAATTGCAGCCTCTCATATTTACAGAATTAGGGTATTTTGGACATTGGCAATTAGGAGGTAGTCCCTTGCCCAAAAAAGCCTGAATAAAATAATGGGTGCCCTGTGTGCATGTGTGTGGGATAAAAATGGAATTGGAGATGCTTAATATTCGAACCAAGGGTCAAACTATCACCAGGCCTCTACCCACATGCAGTGCAGGAGCTGGGTAGGAGCCCACTGTCCTATCGTTTTCTTAAGGACCAGATGAGTAAAAGTTGGCTTAAACTTTATCAAGAATTTTCATTAATATAAAAGAAATGTTTCCTCTCAAGAGAAGGTTGGTTGTTGAACGTGGTCACTAGAACAGGTGACAACAGTGTCAGGCAGCTGCTAGATGCAGGGCGGGTGCGAGGTGTCATGGCTGTCACGGGACCCAGCTTGTCCTTGAGCTGCAGATAGAGGGCGAGGAGGAGACGCCATCTACTTGGGGACCAATCAGTAGCAGGCAGCTTCTCCATCTCACCGCACAGGGCCCAGAGACACGAGTGCCACTGGGTGCCACTCAGCATGGCCTGTCAGCTACCACAGGGCCCATCGGGGATGCTAGACACTCCCTCTCCTTGCCTTTCTTCTGAATTACCGTGTGTGTCACAACATCTGTCCGGAATCCAGGCCTTTACTCATTCCTTAGGAGCTTCTGAGACTGCACAAGAATCTTAGTCTCAGCTTGGTTAACATCCCTTTTCCTCTCCATAGCACAGGCTTGCCTAGGGCTCCCTGAGCCTCTGCCTGAAGAATGCGGGCCATCACTAATGGCCTGTGTGAAATGTCCTGACACTGCCCTGTGTGTCAGCCCTTTCCTCCTTGGGATGTGCTGGAGGTCCTAGAGTACTGACCATCTCTGACACCTAGGAAGAGGCCGAGCAGCTTCGGCCTCAGTGACGAGCCAGTGCACTGGGAGACTCGTCTCCATCTTGTGAGTGAGGGTGAGGCAGGATGTACACTGACCCTGTAGTAGTGATCTGGTAGTCTGTTTACAAGTAAGATGAGCCTTTTTAAAAGTACACACGTGCATATACACACAGACACGCATGCACGCACACTTATAGCCAGTATTTTTGGAATCTGCCATGCTTGTCTTCGGCCTACATTAGATGGGAGGGTTTCCTGAGGCTGGGGCTGAGGGTCAGCCTGTGGGCCTATGGAAAAGCCCCACGGTATCCCACCTCCTGTGCTCACCACTCATGGGCACAGACCGCAGCTGACATCGCTGCCCGCAGCCTCTTCCTGGGGAGAGTAAGGCCATTCTGTTTTGATTTTGGTAGATAATCTTGTGCCGTGGAAGTCAGAAGGGCAAAACGAAGCAGTCCTGACAAGAAGCGCACCTCAGAAAGCAGGACACCCCCTGTCAGGTGGTTTTGGAGAACACAAAGAAGGCGGAAGAATGGAGTGCGACTGTTTGAACAGAAAAGGGGGGCAGGAATACTGGGTGCTGCGCTTCCTCAGCCACGGGACATGGCTGACTCCTCACCGAGACCCTGGCCCTGGCTGCCCTGGGCATTAGGGACACTGTATCTACATCATGCTATTTAAATTACCTTCAAACTACAATGTAAATGCTAACTAGCCATATTGGTATATAGCCAGAATTTTATATTAAAAAGGGCATCCTTTTTAAAGGTATGCTGTGTAAAAAAAAAATGTACTTATAGAAAAAACTCTTTGAATTGTATTTCTTGTATATTACATTCATATAGAGACATTATTTTAACCAGGCAAAGTATTTTTGCAGTGACTGAAATAAATCATTTATTACCTTTGAGTCCCATTTAGGACACTAATAAAATATGGCAATGCATTTTTTTAGTTTCTTAAACTTCATTTCATGTGTTGGAGATTTTAGAGGGCCAGGAAGAATGCCTAAAATCTTTACAATACACTTTACATTTGATGCTGGGCCCGGTGAAGCACACCTGTAATACCAGTGCTCTGGGAAGCGGAGGCAGGAGGCTCTCTCAAATTGAGAAATGAAAAAGGGATGGGGAATGTAGCTCAGTATAAAGGCCATGAGTTCAATCCTAGTACCACAAAACAAACAAACCCACTCATTTGACCTTAAAAAGAAGAGCAGGAGGGGCCGGGGATTATAGCTCAGTGGTTCCGCTGCCTGCCTCGCAAGGGCAAGGTCCCAAGTTCAATCCCCGGTACCAAAACAAGAGGAGCAGGGACTTTTCCATGGATTCTTCTGCCCAGAGACCTGGAAAGAGACCTAACTTTGTCTTGTTGCTTAAGGCACCCCCTTGGAGCCTGCTAGAACTGTGGGCTCTCAGGCCCACCCCCAAGCCTCCTGAGCCAGAGTCTACATTTTCAACAGATTCCAGGTGATCTATATGTAGAGTGAAGACGGAGAAGCTCTACTCCATGTACTGCCTGGAATGAATCTAACCCAAATGACCAGCGAAACTAGGAACACAAAAAGGAAACTAAGATGTATTATATATCTGCTCTGTGTAGGGTAACATGCAACACAGTTTCATGTATTACCTTAGGTGACCTTCAAAATCAACTTGCAAGTGAAGTTAAGTAATTGCCCAAGTTCAAAATCTGGGGCCCGGGGCTGGGGATTTAGCTCAGGGGTTCTGCCGCCTGCCTCATAAGCGCAAGGTCCTGAGTTTGATCCCTGGTACCCCCCCCCCCAAAAAAAACCCCTGGGGCTTGAGCCTGTGCCTAACTCCAAAGCCTGTGAGTGGCCCATCTCACCACGCTAACAGCCCCAGAGCCAGCTCAGCTGTTCTCCCAAGCCAGCTTGGAGAAGGAACAGTATACAAAGTAATGGCCCTCAAACAAAACTCATCTAATTTCCAAACATTTTTTCTTGTGGCAAAATTGGCCTGTTACACAGTTTGGCAGCGGCAGGCAATGTGGTAAGGATTGCAGCAGGGAGTTACTGCAGGATCCTGAGTGTAGTCCACTTGGGAGATGTTGTCATTGGCAACGTCCTGCAGGATGTCTGTAAGGACCTTCCTGACCTGGGGCAGCACTGCCTGGTACTCAGCACTGGCCGTCTGGAGCGGCACGCCTTCCGCAGCATCCTCTTCCAGGTTGAAGATGAGGGGGAGATCATGCCGCTGCTCTGGCCCGATGTTCCCATCACAGGCTTCGGCTCCACCTGGAGAGAAGTGGCAATAAATACCCCATCAGACCCAACCTTGGCCTGTGTTGTAAAGAGGAGAGCTGTGATTGACTACATATTAATTTAAACATGCCAGTGTTTGGAAATTCAAAGAATTGCTCTCCCTGACAAATAAATTACTTGGAGATCTACTTTCTCCTTCTGGTGATGATCCTGTTGTCCATCACAATGTGGAACCTCTCCTTGGGCTCGCCTTTGGGGCCAGTAGGGTATTCACTCAAATACCTTTCATTGGGCCAGGGATTTAGCTCAGTGGTTTCGCTGCCTGCTGTGCAAGCACAAGGAAACAAGTTCAATCCCCAGTACCAAAAAAAAAAAATACCTTTCATCTCTGCCCTTTTGGAGTAAATCCAATTGTTTTGAACATTGATTTCTTGATTACCATTTGGTGAATTAGGTAAAGACAAGGTGTGTAATTTCACTTTGGGTGGAAGATGAGCTTCTTATATAGATCAACACCTGGCTATTAAGGTAGTCCCAAAAGAGGGAGGGGTGACCAAAAATGTTTGGAGGGGTGGCAGCATCCCTGGCTCTTCATGATTCCAACGACCTCCCTACCTCTTCTCAATGAAAAAGTACATGAGGTAGTTGGCAGAAGTATAATTTAATAAACAAAAGGAATTAAGGCAAAGGCTTGAAAATACAAGAGTTTGCCTCTGAGCTTCTCAGTGGCCAAACATTAATAAGATAGAAATGTTATCAATTCCTCAGGAGAAGCTGAGCTTTTCCAGCCCCGAGGTCTGAAAAATGATGCAGTGGCTCCTCTTCCATGGGACTCTGCATCAGGGACAACTCGATGACATTCGACCGACTGATCAAGATGGCCAAGCTGTGACTTCCTGTCACTATAAGGTGAGAGAATAATGCCAAAGTGCAAGGCAGTAAAGGCAAATCTACAGGGACTAAACCCATGCTACCTGAGGATGCAGCCTTGTGGCACAATCTGCCAGAAATAAAATTTTAAATAAAAGAAGAATGCATAGATTGCATAGCCACAGCCCCTCCCTTTATGCCTTTACTCCTGTGACTGGGATTCAGGTTGTTCAGCGGAGGTTAGGAGTTACCATCTCTGCCTATTCTTCATTACTAGTAAGGGGCAGATGAAGTGACATGAGCTTTGACAATCACTCAAGCCCAAGTTGGAAATGGACTCCTCTTATAAAAACAAGTAATTCCACTTAAAGGAAGAGTGGAGTAGTTTGCATAGAACTACCCTCTTCTGAGTAACAATTATGAGTTCCAGGCAGTGTATTAAAAAACAATTAAAGACACTAGACAATAAACAAGCCAGGCAGAAACTGGAAGAGATTTGACCCTTGAAAGAAGAAAGCCACAGTGGGTTGGATCTGTTTCAAAGTTTTCCCTTGGGCACACTCCCTGGTCTATACAGCCTGAGCAGCTTGACCTCCAGACAAAAGCTTTGGTCTCTCTGGCTCGAGGTGTCAAGAGTTCAAAGCTGCCACAAAAGATGAAAATTGAAGGGGAAAATCCTGGAGGAAAGAAGACATAGAAGGGATGCCTAAAACCTAATATACATTCCTCCTGATCCTGAGGAGTGCCTGCCCATGGGCAAGATTCTAGCAATAGCTCAGAGAAGCAAGTAGCTCAGCTGGCATTTCTACTGGTACCTGCAGCAGGGAAGATGGAGTTTAGAGTGTGAGTCCATCAAATTAGAGGAGTCTGATAGACACCTTAGATTTTCCACTGAGGTCACAAAAATTTTGGCTAGGGTAGAGATCAGGTCCCAAAAGTAAGGAATTTGCTTAAAATTAAGGACAAAATCTAAAAGACCAGTCCCATAAAAGTAAAACAAGCCTCTTAAAGTTCAAGGGAAGCAACTACTAGCTGCCTATAAGACCAAATATTCTGAAAACAAATTAAAATCTCTACAGTGTATTATCAACAGCATCCAGTTTCAACTGTCTTCATTACTTTCTCGTTGCTGGGACAAAATACCTAGCACCCACAAGTTAAGGGAGGAAAGGTTTATTTTGTCTCACAGCTTGTAGAGGTTTCATTCCATAATCAGCTGGCTCCAAGGCAGAGAGGCATGACAAAGGAGAAACAGTACTACCTTTGAAATGATATAATGCTTTTTGAAAGTAGATCCAGATTAGTGGTAAATGTACACTGCAAGCTTTTTAAGCAAAAGAATAACTGATAGAGTAAGAAAAGAAAGAAAATGGAATCATACAAAATGCTCCACTAAAACCACAAAAACAGAAAAAGGGTGAGATACAAAAGTACAAAAAAAGGAATAAAGGCAACAAATACAAAATAGTAACAGACATTTAATATAACTATATCATAAATGACTGTTGAAAGATAAACCATCCTAATACTAAACAAAAGAAAACAGGAATATTTATACTAACTTTAGATAGACTTCAAAGAAAGATGTCAGTGATAAAGCACAGCATCTTATAATGATAAAGGGATCAATTCTCCAGAAAGATATAACAGTCTTTAATGTGCCTATACCAACAATAGAACATCAAAATTCATGAGGTAAAAACTGATAGAGCTACAAAGGACAGATGAATCCACTATTATAGCTGGAGACTTCAATACCTGTCTATCAGAAAGGACAGACCTGAAGGCTGGGGATGTAGCTCAATGGTACAGCACTTGCCTAGCATGTGTGAGAAACTGATAGATCTATGAGGCAGAAAATCAATAAAGACATAGTTGAATTCAACCACACCAATAACCCACTAGATATCATGAAAATCTATAAATTACTCCAACAACTGAACATCACAAATTCTTCTCAAACTCATATATAACACTCATCAAGGCCTATAGTTTAGATCTTAAATGTCTGCAAAATCTGCATGTTAAAGGCTTAGTCTTCAGCCCATAACATTATTAGGATGTAGCGCCCAGTAGGAGGTTCCAGGTCACTGGGGGCATACCTCAAAGAGGCTTGTGGGACACCAGGTCATATTTTCCGTCCTGCTCCCCCTCTGTCTCTCATCAGGATAGCAACTATACACTCTAGCCATGATGTGCTGCCTCACTATGGACCCAAAACAATAGAGCCAATCAACCATGGACTGAAACCTCTGAAATGCTGACCCAAAGACAGACTTTTCTCTTTTTAAGTTATCTCAGGTATTTTGTGATGGTAATGAAAAGCTGACTAACATAACAAGATAGATCAAAATATTCTGGGCCATAAAAACACAGTCCAACAATTTTAAAAGAACAGAAATCATACAATGTCTAGTCTTTGACCCTAATGAAATTAAACTAAAAATCAGTAAGAGGGAGCTGGAAAATCCCAAAGTACTTGGAGATTAAACAATATGCCTCTTAAATAACATATCAGTTAAAAGATATATCTCAAGAGAAATTTAAAAATATCTGTAAATCAGTTAAAATGAAAAAAAAACTTGCCAAAATGTATGAGAAATAATGAAAGCAGTGCTTAGAGAGCATTACAGCATTACATGGATATATTAGAAAAGACAAAAGACCAACACACAAATCATCAAACTTCTAAATTAGGAAACTAGAAATAGCAGAGGAAATTAATTTCACAGTAAGCAAAAGAAAAGAAATAATAGAAATTTAATAAAAATCAATAAAACTGAAAAACAAGTCAATAGAGAAAAGCAATAAAATTAAAATCTGGTTCTTTGAAAGGATTAATGCAATTGATAACCTACTAACTAAGCTAAGAAAAGAAAGAGTGAAGGCCCAAATCACTAATATCAGAAATGGAAAAAAAAAAAGAGACATCACTACAGATTCAAAGTATAATAAAGGACTATCGTGAACAATCTGTGATAAACTTGTTGAAATAACTGATTCCTTCAAAGTCATACTCTGCCAAAATGCACACAAGAAGAAATAAACAATTTGAATAGTCTTGTTTGTTTGCAAGAAATTGAAATAAGAATTTAAAACCTTCTAAAAAAGAAAGAACCAGACACAGGTGTATTCTATTAAACATTTGATGAAAGAAGTGATACCAATTCTGTATCATCTTTTCCAGACATTGAAGCAGACAGCCTATTTCCCACCCCATTCTATGGGGCCAGCATTATCCTACTACCAAATCTATACAAAGATATCACAAGAAAAGAAAATGATAAATCAATATCTCTCAGAGCAGATGAAAAATCCTCAACAAAATATTAGCAGTCAAATTCAATGTTTTCAAAGTACATACTATGATCAAATGGGCTTTATCACAAATATATAAGGTTGGTTCAACATTCAACAATCAATTAATGTAATTCATCACATCAACAGACTGAAGAAGAAAACTCACATGATCATATCAATACATGCAGAAAAATCATTTGGCAAAATCATTCATTCATGATTTTTAAAAAAGCTCTGAGCAAACTAGAAGAAGGGAACATCCTCAGCTTGATAAAGTACATCTACAAAAAAATACAGTTAACATCATACTTCACAGTCAGAAACTAGAAGCTTTACTGCTAAGATTAGGAACAAGGTAAGGCTATCCCCTGTCACCACTTATTTCCAACATCATAGCTGATGCAATAAGAAAAGAAATCAAAGAGGGAAGGAGAAGAGGGAAAGAGAAGGGGATGTAAAAAGAATTAAGATGTGTTATGTACATGTACCAACTCCTCATAATGAATGTAATCATTATGTGCTACATACATATGCTAATAAAAATAAACATTTTTAAAAAGAAAAAAAGAAATTTACAAGAGAAAAATAAAACCATCTTTCCACACATGAAATTATTGCTTCTGTACAAAGTCCAAAAGAATCAATCAAAAATCATAGCACTAATAAGAGATCACAGCAAAATTACAGGAATCAAAGTTACTATACAAATGTCAATCTCTTTCCCATATATAGGCAATGAAGAAGGGAAGTTTGAAATTAAAAGTCTAATACTATTTATATTAGCCTCTCCAAAAATAAAACATTTAGGTTTAAATCTAACAAAATGTTTATAATATTTGTCTGGGGAAAATCACAAAGCTCTG